TTTTCAACCTTGTGGTCTCTGGCTGTGGCTTGGGTTATTTTTTTGTGTTGGTTTTGTGTTTTTTTTCCCTTCTCTTTTCTTTTTCATGCATCAATATGGTTACTAAAAGGCCTGACTGGGTCCACAGTTACATGTGGACAAACTTACTATTTTGAAATCAAGTCCTGGACTGTTACTATTTTTGTATTATGGCCTGCTTGTTAATGTGTTTTAAGTAAATAGGAAACTTGAAAGTAATATTTAAGTATTGTAGAACCTTGTGGAACTCAGTGCATATTTCATAAGCCCTGTTGGTTGTTAATGATGATCCCTGAAATTAGAAGGAACTGTCATTTTGATGCATAAATAAATGCATGTTGCAGTAGAAGCAATGAAATCTAATTTTTAAATAAAAGCTCTTATTTTTAAATAAGGCAGTCTTCAACTGTAATTAACTACTACCAATCAATTCATACTAACTGCTCATTTACTTTCATGGATTAATTTAATTCTGGACTAGGTCTTTGGCTAATGAGAATAAAATGTAGAAAAATAAACCCCACAAAACCAAACAAACATATTCCCCCACTCTCCTACCCCTCCTCCCCAACCAAAAAAAAAAAAGGGAATAAAAAAGGGAATCATAAAAATGTAGGCATATGACTTGAGGTACACATGAGGAACAGATGTGGCAAGTAAGAAGATGCTCACTTTTCCACATGCCAAGTAAAAGGGCAGCCTAATCCCGTGGGTGAGAAAATTGCAGAGAATTGACCAGATTATGACGAGTTACCTTATTTCTATTTTCAAGACTTAGGTCTCCGTACACCACTCAGAACCCCAGGAATCAGAATTTACTTTTGAGCCCCCAGACTGTTGTCTGCAGCTGTGCAATGTAGGAGCACACTTTGGATACATCAGTATTTGAGGGCACTGGCTAATTTTTGGCTAGCAGTGCAAGTGCGTGTCTGTTTGCTGATGTAACCGTGTCGTGTCTTACAGAACTTCTGCAAGGCAGGTACAAGCTGCAGAGTGGTGAACCACTCAGACCTGGTGATGGGTCATCTGCTTACATGGTTAGAACCAGTCAGCCTCAATTTACTGAGAATACCCACACAGTTTTGTTGAGCTGATGATATTCCAGTAGGTTCAAATTCAGAGATAAGGAGTTCTTATTTTATTTGAGAGTAAGTGATGGGTAGATCTTCGTGCTACCCATGTACAGGGCAGACACTCCTCTGCTAGATTTGCACATAGCATTCAAGCACTCGGGTTGGACTGCTGCAGTGCTGTACAGGGCTGCACCCTCCCAGAATCACAGAATAGGTCTGGTTATGTTTTTATGAAAGTATTTCTTACTGTCTTTACTGCTGGCTTCTGGGTCCGACAATAGAGGGTTTTTTTCCAGTAACTTGGTGTTTTGGAGAGCTTGTTAGGAGACACTGAACAAGGTTGTTCATATTCATAGAGCAAAAGGCAGCTCTGACAGTGACTACCTGCGTTTGCTTTCCTTCTTGTCTCCGAGCACACGAATGCACTCAGAGCTCATGTGTTGAACTGTCTTTTTCTGACAAATGTTGGGAGAACTCAATACTCTCTTGCACAGGCTTTGGTAAAGGATTTTAGCTGCTGAACAAGAATTTTCTGTCTGAGTCATAGTGAAGACAAGTAGTTTATGGAGTACGGAGGAAATCCTCACAAACCAGAAGTCCAGGCCTTCTCTTACACTAACCTGGCAGAACTGTAGCTAGTAAGGACGCTGGAACCTCATGCAGTGAGAGGTGTATGGTCCCAGGTGTATGTGGCACTCTGCTCTTAGATTTGCATCTGCTTTCATGCAAGGTACTGTTTTTGCATGCGAAGTACTAATTACGAATCTGAAGCCTCTGAATGGGAAGCTGTTCATTCATACGGAAGACCTTTTCCTGGGGACATAGTGCCTTTCAATGAGGGTACACAAGCTGGAAGCTCATTCAGATATCAGGAAGTTGACAGAAGGCAGAATGTTATCTGAGAGAGCTTGGAACTGGTAGTCCCAAAATCCTCCTACTTCAAGGTGGGCTGCATCTCGGTATATTTGGTTCCTGAGCAATGAGAGGGAGGATGATAATGGGATCTCATAAATCTCACAGCATACAGTAGCTGATTGGTTGGAATATACATTAAGTGCTGGGTGAAGAGGAGCTTTTTTTAGAAGTAGACTGTTTTATAACTATGTTTTAAATGTTTCATGGAATGCCTAAAGCAAAAGATAGCATTTCTTTTTAATCGGGGTATTTATTTGTTGAAATAAATGAATAATTTATTTACTTGCTATCTTGGTTGTATGTCTTCTTTCTGTGGATCCTTGTCAGGATGTACTTCAAATGGATATTTTTAGACAGCAGTGTTGGTCTTGGGGAATAATTGAAGCATAGCAGTAGGTGAGTTATATGTCCCTGTAGTTGGCCTTTGGACCTTTTGAATGTCAATTTTTATAGTAATTTCGTTACTTGAAAACATGCCGTGGTGATTAAGTGTTCACATCTTTTATCCCAGAAAATCAGTTGCCATCTTTGCATTGATCAGTCAGGAATACTGCAAGCCTTACTATGTTGTGTTCAGCTGTCTCCATGATACACATAAAACAAGTACAGGGTAATTTTTCCATCTGACTTTCCTTCAGTCTGATCTTGTCTCTACTGTTGTTAATGCAGATCAGGTAGTATAACTCAAAGGAGTCTAAATGCACGCCTCCTAAGTATGTTTATGGGTATTTGTCTAATTATTTGTCTATTTTGACAGTGACTTGTGTGCATACGTGTTTGTGTATTTATTTGCACGCCTGCATGTACTTGTCAAAATACCTTCCAGAGTTTGCTTCCAAAATGCTGGGCCTGGTTCTCAAACTTGTACAATTACTTTACTTTAAAAGATTTTTGGCAAATAGAGATAAGTGAAGAAACAAGTGCAATCCAAGAGTGGTCTCGTATTAAGAGGTCTAAATTAACAGTTGATGAGATAATGAAAACCAAGTATTTCTATAACAAAAAAATCACAGGAATACCTTTGAATATTTATACCATTTACTGCGTATTTAATTATAAAAGCATCTTGTATGAAATAAATATTTGGCAAAATTAAGCTACAAAAGCATCCTAGGGCTGCAACAAAATGACACAAGAAGAATGCAGGGAAGCATCATTCATTGCTGTTTATTACTATAAGTTAAATTACTTCAGCTGATTATCTCAAGTGATGTTAAAGAACTTCATCTCCAAGAGAATGAAATCACTCTCTGAGATATACTTAAAAGTAGAGTTAATGGCTTAACTTCCTTCATAAGAGCATGAAATTGTAGTTCTGGATGTTTTAAGTACTCGAGCAGATGTATATGTAAAAAAGGAATCTACTTGTAATAAGATACAAGGATTACCTAATTTTGCACTGATAGATGACTGATGATAGTGTAGAGAGTTTGAAAGCATGACCATTAGCTTGAGGGCTCCATGTGCCAGGATCTCTGCCAGACAAGACATTTTCCATGAGCATTATACAAACTTTCAAAAAATGTAAGATTGTGGGAGATTTCTAAAATATTCTAGGAAATGGATCTTGAGGCAACCCTTCACAGAAACTGTGTGCTACCATAATCTAAGCTCAAGCAATTTAACAAATAGGAGTCAACTTTATTCGGTGTTGTAATGACTTCATAGCATATGATAGAAATAAATAATAATAACATGTGAAAAGAAACTAGATACTCCCTCAGCTTGTAAACAGTTCATGGCATACATGTTTCTGTGAAAAAACTGCTGAAGTTCCAAATATAGTTACTGATGCAGCAACTCTCTAATTTAAAGATCATTTTTTCAGTGAAAATAAAATTCCTGAACAGGCACAAAACTGTGGCCTCGCTTGATTTCTGCGCCAGTTTCGTGCCCAAATAGATTGCGTTATGCTGTGAAGATACCAAAACGGATACAGAACTGATATAAAAGCTGATGTAAACCCACAACACTAGAAAGGCACTATCAGGCTCATGATGTAAAGACTCATCCCGATTTCCCCTGGCTTTCAAAAGTTGGGCGTGTGGTTGAATACTTAACCTACTCGCAAAGGTGCTGCCAGGGGTGTGACGGTCACGGGCTGGTTTCTGCGAAGCCATTACCCAGATGTCTGACAGGAGCTGTAGCTCTGGTAGAGTCTAGCATATGCAGAATATGACCACTTTTGGAAGCAAGTCTAGAAGATTCATCAGAGTTTTTCTCACTCCTGTGATAGATACTGTTACATTTTAATGTCTTTTGTAATGGTCCTCCCCCCTTTTTTTTTTTTCCGCAGAGATGCAGGGCAGAAATCTGGGTCAATAAGTCTGGTCTTTTCTTAATATTAGCTAACCTTCATGCCTTCCCTTTCTTGAATGACCCTGTTAAATCCATCTCCCAGCATGGGTTACTAGTGGGTTATTATTTTCCTATATCTTTATATTAGTGTAATTAATGAAATTACTAAATCACATATATCCCGGAGCTGTTTATTAAGAATTGCTTGCTGGTACTCTTTTCAGTCTTCCCTGCCATAATTTGCCTTTTTTTGTTCTAATGAGACTTAGTTCTCTCCCTCTTAAATAAGTTTTTCCTACTAACCAGTGCTGGATGAATTTCCTTTACCACACTTCCTTTTTCATTATTTTTTTACTTTGATTAGTTTTATACCTAAAATGGAACAATTAACATAGAAGAAAACACATAATAAACATTATGATAAATATCAACACATTATAAATTAGGTGTATTACAGTGATTGGGTTAAACATAAAATGATATGTTGAACCAAACTCGAGATTTAAATGAAATAAAATGTTTATGGAACAAATCTGTGACATACAACAGCATAATCATAACAACCTACCGGAGGCATAGGACAAATAAAATGTAAAAATAAGAACTGCACAGTGACTCTTAATGGTTAGCTGCATTTTCTCCCAGAACTCAAGCATAATTATAATACATTTTCCAACTGTTTCTTTCTCCTTACAGTACTTGGGCTGTATAGAAGTCTTACGCTCAATGAGATCTCTTGACTTCAATACTAGAACACAGGTTGCAAGGTAAGACTTTGTACAACTATGCTTTTTTAAGTAACTTCTGACTTGTGTCCCCAGAGTGGAAAGGCTGGGAAGATGGCAAAACACATAGTAAAGAATTTTGGACACCTTCAGTCCACTTTCTAATTTTGCTTTTACAGGTAAATCTCTTACCTGGTGCTAATACAGCTCCAACAGGGCTTAAGGGATATTTTCTTCGTGGATTTTTGATATGCCAGGAGGTACTTTAGAAAATGTTTGCCTGTTTGTTATGCCAAGTAAGGCACTTATCTGGTTACCGGTTTCATGACATTCAAGCCAGTGAGGATGAAAATACTCTTAAAATCTATGATGCATGGGCAAAATTAGTCTAGGGAGCTGTTTTGGGGACCTGTGTTTATAGATTTTTGCATTAATTTCTTATGAAAAGGTGTCAGAATTTCTTGGAAAAAGATGTCAGAGTATAAACCATTTGTATCCTAAAAAGGATACAAATGAAAATATATCACCACAATGACACCAGAGACAAATGGAATAACATTTTCTTTTTCAGACTGTATGTAAGAAACAATAAGCTTGTATTAGGTTCTTACTGCAATTCTTTTAAATGTGTCATGGTATTTTCGAAAGAGCAGTACATAAGTGCAACGCTCTCTAAAGAAGTGTCCATGAATCATTTTGTTCTAAGAAGAATATTTTCTAAGAACTATAGGAAACGGTGTTTTGCAGGCATTTTCACTTGAAAACCTGAGTCACTGATTTCAGAGGAATGTGATTTCAGAGGAACGAGGCACTCATAGCAACTCGAGACCGCAATTTGCAATTTCTGGAATTGAAATAATGAAGGAGTCCTTTCCAAAGAAACTACTGGATACAGTCCTTGAATTTCACCTCTTTGAGGCATCTTACGGTTGCCAATAAGTCTATCATAAACCATTTGTCGTGTCATAAACAGTTAAGTGTTTCTTTTATCAAATGAGGAAAATTGCTTGGTTTTAGGCATGCATGCTGATTGTATGGTCTATATGCACTGACTTTTGAGTTATACTTGCGTACAGCAGCTTTGAGTTGGACCCCATAAGTCCCCACAAACATTGATTTGTCAAGATACTGCATTGATGAAAAGCATAAAAGCCCAAGGAGAGGTAAATGACAGAATTCTCTTTTTCAGGCGATGTGGACTATGGAGGCGTTTGAGAATTTTACTACTGTGCTTTTAAAAAACGTCATCATGTACGTTTCTGATGTATTTGCAGCAGTGAACTTTTAAAATTATTCCATGTCTAAGCAGACTTGTAGTTCCAATGCAGGTGGTCCATTTGTGTTTCCTGCTCGGAAGCTCAGTGATACTGGCCCGTGAAACAGTTGTGATAATTACTGGGTTTGGTTTCCATAACCAAAAGTGAACCGAATTCATCTTTATTTTTCTGCCATTTCCTTCACTATGTGTCTTCGTTGGAATAGTTTTGTACTTTTCTTATTACCTAGCTTAAAGGCACAAGTCTGCCATTAATACTTAAGCATATTTGGTGATCTGAAGCAGTATGGTATACACAAACAAAATATCTTTGTCTTGTAGTTCCTTCAATATGAAAAAAAAATTATTCTTGGCTTTTACTGTGAAACAGACTTTGAATTATATTTTTTTCTGTTGAAGTTATAGCATATTTTACTACATGGTGGTCATTTTGTTGTCCCATCTTCCTCTGATCGTGTCTACATCACAGGATATTTTTTTCAAGGAGGAAGTCATATCTTCCTGTTTTGCTTTTTATTTTGCATTTACAGGTTTTTGTTTATCATAAAACACTGAAAACTCATAATTTTGATCATTTAATTCTAAAACTCTTCTGAAAGCAGAAGTTTTTAGTTGACTTTTGAATCAGGATCTAGCATCTTGGGCTGCATCTCATTAATTAATCTCGCTCTAGAAATCTCCTTGTCATGTCTTATGTTTTTGGTACTCACATGCTTTGTCATACAGCATTTCTCATACAAGCCTATTGTTTATTAAGAAAGTATTATTAAAGAATTACTAAAATTCACGTGTGCTGATTAACTTCCTCATGGGTATTAAGAAACCTAACACACCCTAAGGTGCGTACTGAATTAATAAGGCTGATGTTCTGATATTACATGCACCAATTCCCTCTTTGAGAAGACACCTGGTGCCAAAGGGTCTGTGCAGCCCTTTGATTACAAATGAAATAAAAGCACCTGAAACTTACATTTCTGTCCACTACCTCATGCATTTATTTTTAGGTATGTCCATTGCTGATTTCTCCGCAGCTATCAGCAGTAAAACTCTCCTGGTAGCCTGATGGCTTCTGGTGCAGTGTGACCTGCAGAGGCCCGGGCCTGTAGATCTGGTAACGTTAGCCGTGGCTGCATCGGCTGAGGAACCCGGATCCGTAGCTGCAGTGAAGCCTCCTGTGTGTAAATTTCTCTGTGCTGTTTTCCTGCAGCCGCAGAAACAGATGTCACAGCAGCTGTGATCCCTTTCTGACCCAGAACTTCATAAATTGATCCTGCTGCATGCATCTAACCTGTTTGACCTGTTATTTTGCGAAGACCTTGCAAAACCAGTCATAGCAGAAAGTGATCTGTCTGGGGCCGATATGACTTCTGGCATTATGCAGTGTTTACTAAATACAATTTAAAAACAGAAAAAAATGAGTCAAGTTACCTGATTTAGTGTGGAAGTCTGCATGCATCTCTTCCTAATAAACAAAGCATTGTGTTTTTCACGTACAAAGCACTTACTCCTCTTCTAGCACTGCCTCACATCTGTCCCTGCCTGCTTTCTTGCCCTTTTTCTGCTTTATTCTGAGCTCAAACATAGGAAGTCAGTCATTAGGAATCCTCCATTTGCCTTCTTTCTGTCTTCTAGTTATTGCATGTCACTTTATGTCTCTGCTTGCCTTGAGGATGAGCCAAATCCCAAAGTAGGATAAGCTCCTAGAACAAAAAACTTGTGTGGCTCAGTCCTGGGAGGGTGAGACATATAGTCTGTGGCTCTGCTGAAGTATCTGGGTATTATTTTAGACAAACTGTTAGTCCCAGTCACAGACAATTCTGTGATTAAATGAATTAGTGCTTGTAAATGGCACTTAAATTGTTGAGCGAGCATTTAGAAATCACTTAAAAATTGAGCTAAGATTTCCACTTATCTGGTGAATTAGAGATAAGAAATCAATGAGCAGAGCTTGTCCAGATAACTTCAATGGCTTTGAACATCCCTGCTGTTATAATGCCTTAGGAAAGCATATGCATCAGTGTGTATGCATGGACCAGTCTCACAAATGAAGAACTCTGGCTTCAATTTCAGGAACTGCATTGAAGCCCCAATGTAAATAGTTTGGTCAGTGGCCTTTCCTGCCTTATTGCAGTCACTTGAAATATCAACTCATGCCATCTAATGCTGTTGTACCTAGCCCGTAACTTGTGTTTGTTTTGCTTTTTCACTTTTTTGTAAACTATAATGTTAAAACTTGCAACGAGATGTTTATCTCCATGTGAAAGCAAGTGAGCAAGCACTTCCATGTGTCCTACACTTCACTGGATCTTAACAACCTTCGTGGTGTCTTGCAAAGCTATTGTTGTCTTAATTTTGTGTCTGATTTGAGAAAAGTGAACAGCTATGTACAATTTATAATAGATTTTCCCCTTTATGATTCACATTTGAAGTCTCAGGATTCTCTCACTCCAGGAGAAACAGAAGAAGCAGAGTAGTATAATCACTTGTATTGTATTTATTCTTTTCTGTAATGAATGTAACATCATGTGAACTCTTGAGCAAATAAATGGATGCACAAGACAAGGGTCAGCAGTTATACACAGTGATAAATGGAAGCCAGCTGAATCCACGTGTTGCATCATTAATTATCCAGTGATAATTCTGGTAACACATGTGAAGTCAAGATAACTTTCCTGGGGAGTAAGACGAACAAAAGCATTTAATTTTCAACATAATGGAGCAACAGGAGAACTAGCAGATGAGACTACTGGGCTAACCACAGGTGGCAAGTGGTTAAAGTTCATCAGAAACCTACCGTCGTCCTCACAGAAAGGGGCCCCTCTTAAGTTTCTGTGGCCAGGCCCTTTGTGCCTTTGGGCTTTTTATTAAAAAAAAAAAAAAAATTAAAAATCAGGTAAAACTCTTTTGCAACATGTGCAGTGTTTGCAGTTCATGTAATATGTTTGCATCCTTATTGTTCAAGCTGTTCTGGTGTAATGAGTCCTCACTTCTGTGTCGTATGCATGAGTGAGTTATGCACTGGTTTGAATTAGATGTTGCATGCACTGTTTTGTTGTACATCCAAGTCTGGGCTACAAGGGTGCATGTTCACTGGCACTTAATGCAATGCCATCAATTTGCTGCATGCAGCATCAGAAAGTCTCACCTCCCCATGCTGAGTAAAACATTATGTTGCATGCTGTCTTAATAGCAAGTAGATCAGAGGACTGAAATACTTCGTATCAGTGCTGGACCCAAATCCAAACTCTGATGCCAGCCCTCTCCATGAGCCTTGTTGGGCTGAACAACTGGAAAGAGATTCCTCTCCAAATTTGTGGCCTGAACTTTATTAAGAATATTATTAGAGCAAATCCTTTTATGCCAGTATCCCAAGCTTTTGGAGGAGAGATGGTGGAAATCCAAATTTTAGAGCTGGATTTGAGTCCAGTGCTAAGCAATACGAATGAAGCTCAGTTGATGTGGTGTTTCAACTATATCTGTATTCTTTGCAGAAATCCACTGTCAGCAAGCATCACTGAAAGAAAGGGTGGAAGACATTGAAAAGGAAGAATGTTCCTCCTGTGATTTTTGAAGGTGGATAGGTAATGTGTTATCTGCAGTGAATTCTTTACTCAGTGTCCTCCTTAACACACTGTCTTGCTTAGAAGGTGAGTGCAGTTCACCTCTGCCTTCTGCTGTGTGTACCCTGGCTGTGGGGCAGTGCTTACGGGATGGTGCTTAGGGGATGGCAGAACACATAAACCATCTGGATGCACAGCTGTATGCA